TTAAATTTATTATTTTTTAACCTAAGCCATTCTGTTCGGCTATTTAACATCTCTTGAATACTTGTGATACTTTTTTTCAACTCGGATTCTAATTTACTTGATCCTTGAGCTTTTTTACATATGTCACCCAATGTATTCACCATCCCAAATAAAGTTTCAGATTCAATACTCATCGAGTCATGTTTTAATACTACACCCTAAAGGCCCAAATTCAAAGTACTCATAACTTGTTCTGCAGGATTTGTCCAGCTATGATTGGGTGCTGTACGAACTGCAGCAAGTAAATTGAAATCTCTATAAAGAAAAAGGCTAATTAATGCAATTTGTACAGAACCATAATTACAACGATGATCTGGACCTCTATTAGTGTAAAGACACAAAATTGGTGGCACTTCTTAATATGCATACTGAATGTCTAGTGCATTTAAAAATTCTATTACATGTCTAATAGCGGTACTAGGTTCAAAAATTGTATCTTTATATGATACAAACACCTGACCCTCGTAAAATAACCCTGAAATTTCATTGGGGATAGATATAAAAAAAATCACCGATAGTGTTAAAGATAGTTTTGCGAAATCATGATCGGTAGCAGCCAAATTGCTCTCTTGTGCAACCATAGAACATCGATTTCGTACACTAGTATAAACTGCAACATCTTCACCTATAGGAATTTTGTGCTTATTATCAGCAGAAATCAAACAGGCCTATTGACGGTACTGGATACAGAATTCTCTAAGATAGTGGAAAAGTGCAGCACAATAATGTGCATTTTCACTGTTTTTTTGAAGCATCTGAGCTTGTACTTTAAATTTTACATTAAATCGGCCAGTATAATACATAGCCCTCGTTGTAGTAATATTTGTGGGACAAAATTGAAGATGAATCCATTCATCTGATGGAATATTAATATCAGAAGGTAAAGGGTTACCATAAATAGTCTTTAATCTTTCCACTATAGTTTCACGAAGATCACGAATTGACAAGGCCAATGGTATATATAGAATAGCCTCATGCCGCCGCTCATTTACTGCAAGTAAATTCTATATTAAAATAGGTTAAATATAATAATAATAATAATAATAATAATAATAATAATAATAATAATAATAATAATAATAATATAACAAATCCTACCTGCTCATTAAAATATACATTTGTTTCATTCCAAAATACATTAAACTTTGTTCCTTTAAATCCATTGTTTGATCGCAAATCAAATATGATATTAGGATCTGCCAAGGTTAACATTAATCATAGTCTTTCTTCTACATCACAACTGATTGCACGTTGAGTTACAGCAGCATTACCGGTAAGATCAAAATGAAGCATTTGTAATACTGCAGATATGACTTTCTGAATATAGGAATACTACAATATAAGAAATGAATATATGTTAATATATATTAATCTATTAATAAATATTAGTTGTATTATCATACTTTGTCAAGCACATTCTTTCGCATTTGTCGCGTAAAATAACGAGGCAATTCTTCATAAATTCTAGACAATATACGTGCTTTTAACATTTCGTTTTGTCTATCATCAAACATTTCTGCTTCTGGGATCCTCCATACATAATTAATTGTTTCCAAATAATTACCCTGATAATACCTAAAAAAAATAGTAATTTTATAAGATAAAAATATATACGTGAAATTACATTTTATATTGCCATCAAGCGAAAAATAATATTTCTTTTTCTTTTGGCAATACACAATAATATTATATGATTTTTATAGCCAAGACTCGAATACTGACCTATATACACCAATTGGAAATATAAGCTACAACTCTTTAATAAACCGATACCGTTTCATAACATTCTTCAGAAGAAATTGTTGAATATCAAAATGTTCATAAAATGGCTTTTCAAATAGATAATTATCTAACTCAATGTAATCATCTTTAA